CGCCGTCAGATACACGTGTATGTCCGCGATACGTCCGCGTATACGCGTACGCAGTTTATTTATATCATCGTACGCGATGCGCATGCCAGCATGATCAGAGTGCGTTCCCCTCACCTCGCGATCCCACAGTGATCGACTCGGCTCTGACAAACAGACGTGTGTATGAAAGTCATAAATTGCTTACAAAATATTAAAGAAGCAAATAAGGTAAATGTACTAGTTAATGGACATGAACCAATTGTTGGACAAAGTGATAAAACATTTCAAATATAAAACTTTTGATGGTATGTACGATTTTAAATTAATTTGTAATTAAATTTTTATAAACAATAAATTTATTTAAAGTTGTACATATCATTAAAAGTTTAATATTTACAATTTTATATCACTTTGTCTAACGAATTAGGTTATATCTACTGACTGTCCACACTAACTGGTACATTTACCTTATGCTCAGCTGCTCTCCAATAAATACAAAAATACCTGCTTGTTAAAAGACACGTTTTGTGCGTCTCGACAAAAAAAAGGTTTATACCTGAAAAACTACTATGTAATGTGGACATAGCAAGTGAAATCCTAAGTCATAAATGAAAAAAAAATTTCTCTTTTTTCTTTCTTCTTTTCCTCTTACAAAAATACATCTTAAAGAAATATTCTGTGAAAAGAACAAAGATATAAATATTTTCATGTTCAGAGTTATAAATTGTTTGTGCAGCTTAAATTTTCTCAATCTTTATTCTATACTTACATTCTATAATCTATTTGAACAAAAAGAAAACAGATTCTTTTCAAACTTAATTCTTTAAGAAAGTACAGTAAACTCTATCTATGAAGGTGGAGCTTGACTCAATGTTTGCAATTTTCTTCACATTTTTCATTCATCTAATTTATAAATCTAATTAAATAGGAGAAAGTCTATATATATTTGGTCTAAGCAGATCTTAGTATTTATATATTATTATATTTTTTATGTGACACATGCTCTAGCACTGTTTGCATTATTCTCGCTCTGTATATCTCAAAGTTAAGTACAGTGTTTAATCAATTCGATTTATTCTGTAATCTTCGTTTATCTGCCTCATCTGATCCTCGGCTCTCGTATAATAGAATCAAAATAGAAAAAGGATTTATAACGATTTGAATCATTAAACAAATTTTTTTTCTCATACAATATGTATACCTAATATGTATGTTTAATAGATTTTCTTTCTAAATAATTAATTGACTTTTCTGGATATCTAAATTTTAATCCTCTGGAACATTCTATAAAACTAGGAAAAAGTAATTTTCACTGAACACCTACTGGTTTCGACTCTTGGAAAAAGGTCTTACTAGAAAAAATTTGTCGTATACATATATAGAAAAATAAAACACTGAAAAGAATAGCTTGTTTTCAATTGTTTATAGAGACTTGTCAGTTTTCAAAGAAGAATGCTCTTTTCTGTTCAATTCATCACTTTCATCGACCCATTATTCATTTTTCAAAGAAACTCACTTAACTTCCGCATTCCTTGTAGACAGATTCCGGCTACCTGCAACTACAAGCATAATACCCTAAAGCCTATTCTAAAATAGGGTCTCAAGACGTAAGCCGAAAGAAGAAATGGTTCAATCAGAACTGAATATAAAAAAAGAATCGATTATGATCGATTGATTTCTTATGACTCTTTTGTAGAAACAGGCTTAAGAGAAATATTATAGTTTGTTAAAAGAACAAAAAAGGAATGACAAATGTTGATGGTTTGATAAGAAAACAAATTAATCAATTATTATTGCGAATAATTTCAAAGATTGAGATCTAAGATGCTCTCTCAAAACAAAGTAATAATTTAATTCTTTTATTATATTTAATATCTTTTACGCTTCCCGCTGAGAAATACATACATTCTCTTTACTTCTCATCGTCTTTATCTGTTTTCCTTTTCTAATTTTGAGCGATTCGACATACTATGAAAGAGGCAATTTTTCTTTATCCTTGAATAAACGAAAGAAATGATCTGGAAGTAATATATAATGCCATCTCTTCCCGTTTCCTTTGCACATGTAAAGTTTCTTAAATTACGACGTAGAAAATTCTTTACTACTATCATTTTATTTGCGAAATAATTATCGAGTACTGTTTTACTCACGAACATCATTTGTATAACAGTCGTTCGAACGATAAATCAAAATAAGAAATGCGTAGAAATAAGACGATGAATGACGCGTGTCGTTTAATGTGCAACGTTCAAGGACAGAGGTCAATAATCCGCGGCCCATGGACTTTTACATGAATAAAGAACATGACATTTACATGAATAAAAAGGTCGTGAAAATTTAATTTTTGTCTTATTATTATTATATGTATATAAAAGTATCTAAAATATCTTTGATTTTTAACCAGCAAAGCCGAAAATGTTTAACCTAACTTTAGAAATTCGGCGAATCCTTTTCAAAGTAACATTTACATTTTATACCTGTTTATCTTTTTAATAACACTCTATACACATTATTACAATATGTGTTATATTATATAGATCAAAAGAAACTGATATTCATAAATAATAAGATAAAAACTACAGATGATCATTTTATTTCACAACTCTAATTGTAAGCCATACTACTAATATTATATAAATATATAAGTTTAAAAATATTATAAAATAATACTTTAATAAAAACAGTATTTTTATGGTTATCACTCACTAGAAAAGTATTCTCCAAATAAATCTCTAATAAACTAAAGTAGTTAAACTGACTGACTTGAGCTAACGCTAAAACATGCAGAATTTCATTAAAGGAACAATGCTCAGGTAAAAATAGGATGTTTTTTTAAGAAGATCAAAATATAAAAATGCGTCTTTCGTTTCGACGAAATAAGGTCTACGGAAATAAAATTGTGAGGCGCAGGGATGCATAAATTTCTGCACGCGTGTTACGAGTTTGATAGCTGTTTTATTTTTGGATTCGGATCGTAGGTTTCAAAGTGCAAATGCATCTTTACGTCATAATCTTACGTCTAAATGTCACTTTAAATGCCCAGTGACATTACCTGCAGCAGCAGCAGCACCATATTGGCGGATGCAGAAGCAGCGCGCGTAACCTCGTCTGAGCTGAACGATTCTTCTGCTCGCAATCGTCCACGTGCAACATCGTCGTCACGCGAATTTCACGCAAGCGCTAACGGGATCAACGCCTTGTCTAATGCACGCGGCTAACGGAAACCGTGATCTCCACGCATTTATCGAAACACGAAAGTTTCGCGGAATAGTGCCTCTACGATCTATCGCGGCTTCATTTTTATAAAATAAAAAAAACCGTAAATAAAAAAAAGGAGATAAACGGGACACGCACTGAATCGCAGGGGAATGGCTAACGGGAAACCCGCAGGGCGAACCGGTGCGTCCATTCGTTCGATTTCCGACTTTATCGTTCTTACGACAGCGCAACAACGTTCAAAAGCGATTTCTTCTTTTTAATTCTTTTTATAAGGATCAATTTCTCTTTATAAAAAATTTTAAAAAGATGCCTTCAACTCACAAATTCCTAAAATTCCATAGCTTTTCTCTAATTTCCAGAAAATTTCACAATTTTGCCCTGATGCTTTCCATAGTATCTAGAAATTTCTTATAGTTTCATCTTGATTTCGAAACATTCATCCATCAAATAAATTTTGTTAAAAGAGTCATTTAAATTAATATTAATATTGCTGACACACTATTGACAATTGTTAAGTTGGTAGTACGTACGATGTACGCAAATTAAATTCTTTAAAGCCAAGAATTTTTATTTCTCAGAAAATTTTGCAAATTGACTTGATTTTTTCCTAATCGTTTTCAATTTTTCTGATATTTCCTTATTTTCCATGATTTCCATAGTTTTGTAGTAACTCTATATTAAAAAATTCTTTGATCACGGCATAGAAATTACAACAAAAAGTCTGAGTATACGAGCGAATATGTCAAAATATCTCATAAAGGTTACGTTCTATTTAACGCTCACAACGCCGCTCGTAGAATCATTCCACTCTTGTTGTTAATCAAATGTTGAACGAAGACAAACGATGATTGCGAATATTGTATGTGGTCAGAATATCACACGATTTGTCAAAATATAATAAAATTGCCAAGTTTTTTTAAAAATACGTAAACATGAAATAAACTAGCGCTACGAAATTTTGTCCCAACCCGATATCTAGGTATTCTTTCTCTCGTAGAAAATATCTAAAATACTTGAAAATTATATCATTCAATACAGCAATGTTTCGATTTTAAGAATCTATTTTTTAAAGTTGAGTGATACAATGATTTTTAATGACATTAAAAGAAACACGTAAAGAATTTGTCGAACATCCAAACTTTATGACAGAAAATTGCTGGAAATTCCAGAAACATCTCTTTTCTCTCAGTGACAGATAATCGATATATGTTGAAAAACTTGCTCGAGTACTGAAAAATAAAAATATTAACCTGACGCAAACTGTTTTCCTTTCAGGAGACACAATATATCGTTTTTATCTTTGTTATTCATTAAAAAAGTTAGAACGACGATTACGTTTTTTTTTTTTTAAAGAAAAAAAACATGCACAAGTATGCACTTTGTTTATGATCAACAACGAAAAGATCTGAGAATAATCAACAAAACACCTGAAAACGCGCATCTGGCCAAGTGACTCACGATTTGTTTTCGTTTCTCTTTAATCATTCTGCTCCTTTCTTTTATCTTCTTCGGTGAACTGTTCTACTTGTTATTTCTAAATATCGTGTTGGAGTAAAAATTGACGATTCTTTTCTCAGAGGGAAAAGAGAAAAATGTCGAGTCGGGAATTGGTCCGCGGAATCGAAACGCATGAAGATTGGCGCGAGAAATGGATCTCGACTCGGATGCGCACCATCCAGGAAGGAAGAAGAACGCGTGGCCGACGAACTAGTCCGTGAGCGTGTCGCGCGCGCCGCGCCAGGCATTTAATAAAACAGGCCGGCGATAAATCACGATAACATTACTTGAGAATGGATGCTTACTTTTCTGCGAGTCCTGGCGGGAACGCGATCGCCGGCTTACGGCGTAGCAGATCACGAGGACGATTCCGCCGGCGACCAACGTGGCGAGCAGCATCATCAGGCCGGGCACGCTCGCGCTCTCCAGCACGTTAGTCGGACACGTCGTGTTCTCCATCTTCGGTCGAGACGGATTAATTCAGCAGCCCCGGCACTTGGTCGCGAGCCACACGCGTTGACATACAACGAACGGAACGTTGACGTGCAACGCCGCGAGCACGCACGCACGCACGCACGTGTGTCGTCGGTCCGAGCCGCGAGCTGAGAAAAGCACAGAGAAAAGCTCTCCCTCGGACGGCGGACTCGAGGGATACCAACCGAAAAGGAGGTGTGTTGTGTGCGTATTGTTATCCCACATTCGCCAGTCCCTCGTCACACACAACGTGTACCCGGCGGCCGGCGCGTATAAACTACTATAAACCGTGCGTTCCAAAAGACCTTATTACGTGAGCAAGCAACGACGGCCATGGGGCATACGTTTTGTAGATTAACGAATCGACGGACTGCGCGCTCACCAACTACAAATTCAAACAAGGCTTTTCGTTTCTTCCTCTTCTAAAATGAAAAAACCAATCGGTTCTTCCACACTCAACTGCGCGGGAAATTTCAAAATCCCGCTCCGCGCCTTCTCGGCCACGACACGCGCGATACAAAATTCGATACGTACGTATCACTCCGGGTGGCAATTTAAGCACGCGCGATCGCATCCTCCGCCGTCGTCGGGCTCCACTCGTCCGCACGGCCGTGACTCTCGCTCGATTGCGCCGCCGGTTGCCATCCGGTTATCATCCGCACGCGTATTCCACGCTGTCTCGTTCTGCCGTCGCGCGTTGTGAGAGAGAAAACCATTCCACGGCGCGGCCTCGTCAAACGGTAGCATTCGTTGTATACGTAAAATCCTCGTATCTTCGTGCACTTGACGTTGTCAATTGTATCTGTTGAGCATTTCCCGACGTCCCGCGTACCGTGTCGTCAAAATAAGCAGTTAAAATCACGGATCGTGTCTTACGTAAGCGACGGCTGTGACGATGATGCTCGCCGCACGGACTCAGGCCGTATAATAAACCGCGAGTCGCGACGGAGACGCTCCTCTCCTTCTGTGAAACGGCTTGGCGCGTGTTTGCCACGGCGAGTCATCGTGCGCCAGTATATACCGTTTCGTGGAACCGCGTATATCTCCCGAAGCGCGCCGACCCCTACCGCGTCGTCGCGTCGTCGTCGTCGTCGGCTTCCCCCTTCTCATGCGTGACGACAGATCGCGACGCGCGACCCGGGATTAATAAAATCAACAAAATCACTGAGATTGTCGCAGCTCTAGACAAATACGTATAGCTTATAAGCTCGTATTAGCTCCAATTTAAAGAGTTAGAAGCAGGACACGAGTCATCATTACGTCAAAATTACGTCAATATTGCTCCAAAATCATTACTAAAAACAACTTTTCGATTAATTAAGATACGTTTAACGTTATTTTGACGTATCGTAAAATGTTCTACTTGGAAACAAACAGAACGTCGTTATAATAAGTATCACCTCAAAATAACAACCTCAAAATTATTCCAAGATGATAACTTTAGAGTCACTTTTTAATTTTAGTTAAGATAATGTTATTTTGACGTTATCGTTAATTGTTTTATACGTACTTGGAATTCATACAAACAAAACCCATCGAAATGACGTCTAAGATAAAATAACTAAAAATTATTTCTTGTAATTAGTTATAAGATTTATTTTAACGTTATATCATGATACGTTTTTTCACTTTTTTTATTAACATGTCACTTGTCCTTGTAAAGATTTAAGAAACAACAATGAAATAATTCCAAGAGTATTGTGAGCATAAATTGGACCGAACCTAAAAGTCACTTTTCAGTAATTTACGATTCATTTTAATGTCATTTTGACGTTGATTTATCGTAATTTGTTCTGCTTAATTAGGCAAACATCTCTCCTACTTGAAGAGAAGAAAGAAAAGGTTGGTAGGTGGTTTTTATATTTAAACCTTGATTACAATCTTTAGACTTTAGAAGCCAATCACAGAGCAGTATTAACATTTTAAAACATTACTTGAGATGATTTTGAAATAAGAATAGTAGATTCTATGAATACCCAACTCTTAAAAGACCCAACTCAGAGTCATTCGGAGAAGAAGCTGTTTCCGTGTTTTAAGACGACCACCGTCACGTGTTATAGCTATCAGCCATTCATACAATTATAATAAAATATATATCTACATGCACCGATAAACATCGTTCAGTTTATTCCGAGCGTGTTGTTTTGAAACAAAAACCTGGATTATTATAAGAAGATGCATGTTTCTTTTCTCGACGTTTGACAATCAAAACTTGGTTCAAGATACCTTTTGTCATATGACAAGGCGATCTTCGCGTTTAAGACAACCACTGTCAAATGTCGGTCACAGTGATTCATAATAATTACGATAATTATATCTAGACACGCCAATAAACATCGCCTTGTTTGTTACGAGCGTGTAGTTTTAAAATTGAAACGTTGATCGGTATAAAAGTGAATATGTTTCTCTTTTTTTATGTTTTCAATAGGTTACGTTACGAATAGAAACATTTATAATCTCAAACAGTATAACAAATCATGATTAAAATAGCGTCAAAATAACTCTAAAATAATTATTAAAAATCTTTTTAATCAGACAGAATTTATTTTAACATTGTTTTGACATTATCATGATTGATCTGTATTCTGTTTGAGATAGCTTAAACGTGTGTCTATAAAATTGTCGAGGCCTCTGAGGAACTCTCTCCACAAAAATCTGTATTCAAAAATCTAATTTTAAATTTAGAACGAAATCTCGATTTGACTTAAACCTAGAGATCCTTTAATAAATAGTCCGAACGACCAGGTTTTGATTGGTTTGCCGTGTTTCAGCAATTCCTGAAAAAGAGAAACGGATAAAAAAAGATAGTATAAAAAGAAAAAGAAGTAGATGTATATTTTTCTCTTCCACATATAATTTTACTAAAACTAAAAATTTGCATACTAAAAGTGTGTGAATAGTTCGAATTTGAATCGAACCGAATCCATTATGATTCAATTCGTTTTCATCTGAAATTCGAATAACTTCAAAATTTCGAATCAATCACCTACTTTTAGTATATATATATATATATATATATATATTTCGTATACCTCGACTGCATTTGACCTATATCCTATTTTATTACAAGGTCTTTAATTTAAACTGAACGACTGGGAGAGAGAGAGCGTTTAATTCCTCGTGTGGCAATTATTAACCACCTTGTTTTATTCTCAGTAGTTTTCGTAATTATGTTATCTCGATCATTACCACAAACACATAACGCGGCTTGCATTAATAGTGCAGCCGTTCCAGTCAGAAATGTTATCTTCTTGGAAGTAAATTCTATTCGCGAAAAAGGAAAAACCATTTATCGGTTTTTTCTTGAATTCGCACCGTCAAACCTGGAAATATCATGAGTTTTCCGTTGTATTCCGAGAAGATTCACCACGTCATGCAAACTGATAAACGGCCTGGAAACAATACGCATCATCATCTTACGTCGCTTTAGCGTGACGAAACTTTACGATGCTTTTGCGTAGCACGAAGACGTGACGGAAGCTTTCCGTGAAAAAACAGAGTCGTCGTAATCGTATTCTTTGATCCAGCATTTTATCCTTTCTCTATCTCTATGCGCATACAAAAAAAGGTTACAAGACACATTACGTCCATGGATTATAAATAATTATCCGTTTTACTAATTTTATATAAGATGGATATTCGGGAAAATTTCTTATATTCCGACAAATGGAAGCTTTAAAAATTATATTCGCATGAAGATACGAAATAGATATTTGTCTTAATCGAAGATTTTGTACGTATACTATTATTTTTATTTATATTGTGATTTTTATTGAAAAATAGTGCATTTTAGTAAATATTTTTTCTCCAATAGTTTTAAGTAAATATGTACTAAATAATAAGTTAACATACATATATTTATTTAATACAAAAACCATTAATTTAATTTAACTTTTATTTTTACTAGTAAATGTTGATTTAAGTTAAGTAAACGTTTAGCTATTAAAAAAAATATGTATTAAGATTTAATAAATTTGTTTTTAATGTATCATGCCATATTATATATAATCTTCAGTCTCGATAGACAGTATGCTAATGCCTCATTTTTTGCAGTTTTTTCTAATTTATTTTGTAATGTAAATTTATTTCTCTTTTGTTATTCACACTTTTTAAAATAATGTTATTAGTATACTTTAAATACTGATAAATCAATCTTTAATTATCCGCGCTTAACATTTCCAGATAGCATGCTAATGTCATTCATCATCACATTGACGTCAAAATGATGTCAGCTTGGGAATGTTAAACGCGCGAATGATTAAAAATAAATAACATCTATTCAGCGTTTAAAATAATAATAATAATCTTTATTGGTATCTTCACTTAATTTAATATATTATATATATATATAATTATCAGACTGTTTTTCGCTCGCCGCGCAAACTGTCTATTGTAAATGGAAGGTAGACAGATATTTTATCAGACGAGGATACGAATATATCTAATAGTACCGATTTGTCTCGATCGAAGATTTTAAACGCCGACAAACCGAGCATTCATCTTCCGCCTTTTGCATTTAATTCGGTATAATTATCCGTTTTCCACTCGATGCGTAGACGATCTATCGTAAAATGATTGCTGAGTGGCCACGACAGGATGCATTAAATGTTCAACCCGTTATTCGCCCCGTTATTTTTCCCTATTTCAAACGCCTTCGTCCTCGATTCTCGACTCTCACGCTCGAGCTCGAGCACCGTGTCAGCAACCGCGGATCGCGTTAAAAGCATAATAGCTGACAGAATTAATATAAGTTAATGATGAAATTATTATTTTTATTTCAAGCGTCGGTAATCAAACTGGCCGATTTAGCTGCGCTGATCAATTCTCGTGCAACGAATAATAAAAGTTGCGACGACTTCGTTCAAGTCCGCAGAGCTAACTTAATGGAACGACTGAATTAATCAAACAATTAATATCAACATCATTTTATTAATGCGGACGGAATAATTAATTGTTTGATAATTTGTTAACAAATTAGATTAGAGAGATTTAAACGAATCATTTATATTTATAATCGAAGGTTCTGTACAGTATTTTAAGCAAATTGACTTCGATTAAATTTGTCGTCGATAGAGACAGATTTCAATCAAAATCGATAGATCTTGAATTTTGTCTTCGCTAATCGCTATAGTTTGGCCATGTGACTCACCTCGTGTCTTTGAATCTTCTCTCTCTCTCTCTCTCTCTCTCTCTCTCTCTCTCTCTCTCTCTCTCTCTCTCATTCTTTTAGATTCGTAGCACGTGTACAAAAATGTGATGGTACGTATAAAATATTACGGTATTGATAGAACCATATGTTGAGATCAGGTTTTCGTTTATATTTACAAACAGATTCTCTTACGATTTGTGCAAACAATCACTAAATTTCTATTGGGGAATATATGTGATATGAATGATCGAAAAATATTAAGCTCGTTTATGTAGGTACATGAATTTACTAAACCCAAATGATTGTACTGAATGTCAGTTAATTTTCTTTAAAAGTGTAACATTTAATATATTTTTTATTATTTAGAATGATATGTATACCATACATATCACACGCTTTCTCGTATTTAATATTTAAATTTAAAGTGTTGAGTAGCGCGCTCTAGCAGTGATAGTATTCACCACATTTCGTATATCGTCGGTAAGAATGTATGGCAATTCGCAAAATTTGACTCAAGTTGTTTCAATTATTCTGCTTATTTATTTAAACCCATTCTACAATTGCGTAAGCGTAGTTGTAGTTGTACGAATTAACCAATCACAGTCAAATACGAAGAAAATGTTCGACTGTGATTAGTCAATTCTTACAACTACACCACTACGTTTACGCGATTATAGAATAGGCTTTACTTGTATCGGTATTTTTAGCTCAATTTTTTAATCTCTCTCTCTCTCTCTTATTCAACACTCAATATACATATTTTTTTCATTTAGAATATAAATTACGGAAACCATTAATTACATGAGTATAAGATTGTGACAAAGGCTTGTATTTATAGTACGTTCTTATTTCAAGTATGAATGTCGGCCTCTGATTGGTGCACAGTATATGTAAATACCGGTCATAGGTCGGTGTATTTATAATTGATTCTTATATATTCAAGACTATCTCAAGTATTGTCTCAAGATGCTAATACAGCTCTGATTGATTCATAACATTTTAGGACCTTATTCATAGTCAGCTCTAACCAATCAGAAGATACACACATTAGTGTTTTAAGGTATTACTTAAGATGGTATTGAAATAAGGACTGACTAAATACCATCTTAGGGCACTGTACTTAAAACGATTTTAAATTTAAGATCCGATTATGAATACTGTGTTATGAATATCGGCTAGAGAGAGAACCGTTCATAAGATGACTAGAGATTTCAACGTTTCAATGATGGCAACACGCGATAGTAAGATTCAATGTAGAAATATCTGATTGGCTATAGAGATCAGCCGAAAGCACAACTCTCGATTGGCCGACACTGGGATATCGCTATCTCATTCGACGGTAGCCAATTTGTAACCAAAAACATTTCTTTTATTACATAATATTTTCGCGGAATAACCGGCGAAAAGCCCGTAAAACTGCTAAATCTGTCATCGTAGAACGAACAGCGTGGATTGTGTCGCGTCGAATCGATTTCCGGCGAGTTTCCAGGAGCGATAGAATGGCGTTGAGATCGATTTGCCGGCTGTCAATTGATTCGACCTTCAGGCAGTCGAGCCATTTCGGAGCCACCGCCCGGCCGAGACGACCGTTCTTTGACACGCTCCTACGAAGTTTTGCCGCAGCAGCTAAGAACATGGCACTGCCACGCGTTTTCTTCGACATGACCGCGGACGACAAGCCCGTGGGTCGCATCGTGATGGAGGTGAGCCGAAATTATCGTGCGATCGCGGCGTAAAGCCGTCCCCGCTCCGACCGCGCTCCTTGTGATCCCGGCATGCCTAGCCATCTTGATTTTTCCACCGAGCCGGTTCCGAGATTCAACCGGGATTGCATCTCGTGCGACGAGATCATTGACGCTCGTTCTCGTCCTTGTCATCGATGATGTCCGCGTCACACGAATGTGATGTAAAATAATCGACAACTGATGGATGCGATCGGCGACTGTCGTCGCGAGGACGCGTTCGCGCGGAGTCACGCCGAGCCGAGCCGAGCCGAGCGCGCGAGACCGTCGTTAGCGATGCGTCACGGTCGCGCGACCACGCACACGTTTTGGCCATTGCGAAATTTTCCATTGACGACGAGAGAGGCTGCCTCCAACCGACCTGTCCGCGTGCGTACCAGGAGTAATGTAAATCTTCGCTCATGGAGTACGCGTATAATTTACATCGAGGAAGTCGCAATTTGCAATTTGCGGAAGATCGCTGGATATTATAACATGCTGAGATAAGCATGTCAAAAATGTGATTTCATTCGCTGAAGGTTATTACAATTTAGTAATACGATCGCGATAAGATGTTCTTTTCATGGTTTTTTTTCCAAAAATTGACGCGTTCGTATTTATACAAATTGTCCTTTTCATAAAGATAGATTTTTCTTCTGCCGTGGAAAAAGATTACGACGAATAGAAGTACCATGTATTAATCGTGTGTTATATAATTAGCTTCTTTGCGCTAGGCTAAACATAGACTTTTGCACACGATTGCAATTTTCATATTTTTATGCATAATGCAGAAGAATCAGCTTTTTAACATGCAAGTTTAGAATTTTAAACACAGATGGCGGCAGAGCTGGAGAGCAGTAATATATATTTACCTTCTATCACGTTTTCCTTTAATATTTCTTTATAAACCAATTTATAAAAGCTAAAAATAATTTCTTCTTGTTACCCTACTAGGCCGTTACGCACAAATTGTCTTAGCATGTTATATATATATATATATATATGTATGTATATATTTTTTTATTTAATGTATACAATATTTTTATATTTTATATTATACGATAATATATAATATCATATATATAATAATGTGATTTGTTTCATTATAATAATAATTATATTACATATTTATATGATTATATATTTATACATAGCATAATTTTATTGAATATAAACTAAATATCTAGAAATGTTAATCATACTTTCAATACAATTTTCTAGTTGAGGAAAGATTGTGTCCCCAAGACAGCAGAGAACTTCCGCGCACTTTGTACCGGAGAGAAAGGTTTCGGATACAAGGGTAGCAGTTTCCACAGGGTGATTCCGAACTTCATGTGTCAGGGTGGTGACTTCACCAACCACAATGGCACTGGTGGAAAGTCCATTTATGGCGCCAGGTTCGAGGACGAGAACTTTAAATTGACTCATACTGAACCTGGTATACTATCTATGGCAAATGCTGGCCCCAACACTAACGGCAGTCAGTTCTTCATCACCAGTGCCAAGACCAGCTGGCTCGACGGAAAGCACGTCGTGTTCGGAAAAGTCACCGAAGGGATGGATGTTGTTAGAAAAGTATGATTTTCCCATCTGGCAATATTTCTTATACAAGCAGTCAACATGTACTCTTATTGTATTATTAGGTTTTCTTATTTGGATATCTTAGACCTTCAGTACACAATTTATTTATTCAGTTACTTCAAACTCTTTTTATGTAACTTAATTACGAATAATTAAAATAAGGGTTCGAAAATATTCTATATATATATTTTTTTAAATGCCCTTCTATAAAAGAGTTTTTAACTAATAGAATCAGAGGAATATTGAATCTAGATGTTTTCCTTGATAAGTCAACTTTATTAATATTTATTAATAGCTAACATGCATTATTTATATATTGTTTTCAGTTGGAGGCCATGGGTTCTCAAAGCGGCAAGACATCCAAAAAGATCATAATAGCGGATAGCGGAGAGTTGTAGATCAACTAGATACTGTAATGACTGCATTTTTATTTAGCTGTTGCATACCTATTTGCTGTCTTTATTGCCCTACTTCATCCATTCCTATTGACCAAAATTCTCTCATCGCAGCTAATAATTTGTTACCAAGCACGGAAATTCAAACTTACTCAATTTTGTATAAATGAAAGAAATTGCCTGCACAATATTTTTTTTCTATTTTATTTTAAGTGAATTTACTTCTTTTTCACTAGAAAATAGAGAATTATTTGCAGTGATTTTTTTTTTATAACAAATTTGCTAATTTTGAAATCTCCTTTGCTTCATTTCACAATAAGTACACCGTGTTTTTATAAGAAATCTGTATTAGACTTTTGTGCGAAATCCATATTCTTCCACGAATACACTCGCTTAGTATCGCTGAGTGATATAGCAAGAAAAAACACATGCAATGAGCTCAAATTTTTCAAGTACCATCTTATATTTTAGTAAGTGTTCAAAATATGAATATCTTCAATATTAGGATAGGCATTTCAGAGTAAAAAACAGTGATTGATGTATTGATTCTAGTATGTTAACCGATGCATTTCTCTTTAACGTTATACATTCTTTTGATTTTACATATGTATAATACATATAAATGTATATCACGATTAGAGAATTCTCATTGTATGTTTTTTATAAATATACCATTCCTCTTCTCTGCCGAAAAACAGGCATCCCGTTCGCCTATCGTAATGCAGGTAATGCCTGAAAGCGATACCATCTTACTGTAATACAACACCAAGTTGAAAAATGTAGTTGCAACAGTCCGAAAAGTTTCGATTTCTTAAAAATAAAATTGTTTTCAGAAAGAAAAACAGTTGTACGTTATTCACACCACTTTTATTATAATTTTCAATATTAGGTAGCCTATACTTAATTTATATATTTCTCCTCTAGAGAGATAAATTCTTCACTGCTTAAGATAAATTTACCTGAAAAAACCATTTATTATAGATGAACATAGCATCTAATCCTTTCTTGCGATATCTAAACTAAGGTTGGGAAATCGTATGAATAATACACTGTTTGCAACATTTACGATCAACGTATATTTTACTTTTTTTTTATATTTATGTTTTATCAATCTGCTGCGAGAACATTGATAGAACATACATCATCAATACTATTTACAACTTTAGGACACTTTTCAATAATCTAAATAACGAACAGGTGATGCACTATTCTAAACAGTAAGCGGATCGTATACATAATTTTCGAACGCAATCATAAGGATTGTAACGAAGCTCATTTGTCAACTAATTTTATCATTTTCTTTTCATGTTATTAAATTAATATAAATTTATTCACCCTTCTAAATAATAATTAAGTATTCTTATTAAGGGGTTATAAAAAATCAAATATATATCCATGTTAATTCTGATGCAAATAACAAATTTTTTCTCTTTTAATTTCACCAATAATTAATTTTAGTAAGATCGTTTAGGAAATTAAGAATTGAGAATTACGATATTAAGAAAATAACTTGTTATCTGCATTAGAGATTACTTATTTATATTTATTACTTAATTCAGTAAGACAAAATAACACTTGGTCTTTTAATCATTTCGTTCAATAATTTGTACTTCCGTCTTTGTTTTATATTTTTACTCACGCTGCTTCTTGTCCAATAATTTTTGCGTGATATAAAGGAGAGCTATAGACTTACGCGGATTTATATAGACTCTGATTACCAATTGAGAGAAGAACATTTAAGTATTTTTATTCTCTACTCACATCATATGTTGTTTATTAATGAGTTTTGAAGTTCATATAGATCAAGGTAATCACATTACGCAATCTGCAATTCTGTATAGATTTCAAAATTCTCGATAACAATGATTATTATCTTTGGGACATCTTTTAACATTGATATATCAAGAGACGTATAAGTGTATCGAAATAATGCGTATCTATAAGTCGCACCGTTTTTGTTAGACATTTTCATCATAAATTTTCAAATAAATTTTTATGAGTAACTAGTTATCTAAAGTGACACATAAAGTTTTCACACTTATTCTGAACTACTAATTTATTATAAATTGAAAAGGTTTTAAATTTTTAATAAAGCATGAATATATAAGGAACCATGTCTCATTCTAATTGCACCGCAACAGAGCAAGACTGGATCAATAAAGTTATTGATTGCACATCGACCAAGAAATACTAATTTAATACTATTGAAGATTGCATTCAGTACGTTATTGTTCAACTATTGTCGAATGTTTTAAGAATTCTTTGAGATTTAAAATATAATTGGATGGGAAAAACTTGAATATATATAGAAAGATAAAGTATTTTCTATATTTTAACAGGAAAAGAATTTTACTGAAGTATCTAAAAATTTAGAGAGATATATGGACCTAAAAATAATTTTGTTAAATGTTGGGTCATCGAAATAATTACATAGAAAATTCAAGCATAATGAAGACAATACTGCAAAAAATTTTGACACTCTAATTAATATTTAGCATGAACGTTCTACAGTCATAGTTGCTTTGATAATTCAATGAAACCCTGTAATAAAGATAAAAATCGGAGCGTAAGTTGAATGTAAGGAAAGAGTAACAGAAGCGTAAACAAAACTTCTAGGAGACGTAAATTGGAACAACGAAACGTAAAAGAAGTGTAAATGCTTCTTTTACGTTTCGTTGTTCTAATTTACGCCTCCTAAAAGTTTCGCTTCTGTTATTCTTTCCTTACATTCGACTTACGCTCCAATTTCTATTTCCATTAAGGAATTACGTATTAGAAACTATCAGATCTAACTAAATTAGATATTTCAGCAAAATCGTTCTTTCTGTCAAATTATGTTACAAAATTATTAAGCACAAACACAATCGAGAAATGAAATCTAATAAAACGGGAAAATTATTATACGTTTGCAAGACATATCGTAATATTTAGTTCCATTCATAGTTTTTATTTATGACTCTGCTAGATGTATGTTTAATTAATTTGCATCTCACTCGTGATATTTTACCTTTGAAACATAAAATTACCGAGAGGCTGCGACATGAATATCTTTTACATTTCTGTTTGAAACATATACATACATGCGTACATCCACCCACTCACATACATACGCGCGCGTACACAGCAACGTGTATACACCTCGTGCATATCGTTGCTGTACAATGTTATTAAATATACATGATGATTTTTATACACATCTCTATATATGTCAAGTATATCAGTAATCAGTGGCGGTTTGTGCGGTCGAAATGATGCTGAGGAACATCGACCGAAAGGAATAGGAAAACGGATAACAGTCCGATTAACGAAACAGGAAGAAAGACGACAGATAAAATTACTGCCTTGTATAATTAATCGGACCAGCCGCCACTTTCTGTTTGTCTCTTTCCGAATATATTATTTTATATATGTATATATATATATATATATACTTTATTATTATATATATATATATATATATATATATGTACTATAATTATAACGTGTGTGCATCTCCTTTGGCCCGCAAAGGATAAACTAACGTTTATGATTATCCACATTCTCTGCGTTAATATATACGAAAAACGCAGAATATATTCCCTTATATTTCACACATAATTTTATTCTACAATTCTTTCGCACTATAACGTAACATCATCTGCTCGCGACAACTTAAAATGACATATATTGCTAAAAATAATTGTCCCTTATGAAAATAGTTCTATAATTAATTGATTTTCACAGTATTTGCACTATCAATAAAAATTATATGACGCATATATATCCCATTGTGTGCGTAACTGCACTGTGTTTTGCTGTATAATCAGGATGGACAAGGACAGATTGCGTTATCTGTCATCTCACGATAATCATGGGTACAATCAACCGCAAAAAATATATAGGTACATACAACCGGAATAAAGCCATACGGAGAGCGAAAATAGTCCGTACATATCGAACTCAATGTTTACGTACTATGCAAACGTATTGGCAAAGGCCTTCAGCTTCGTAAATTGCCATATTTAACGATATGAATTTCTATAAAAATTAAAATTATGAATATTTATTTATCAATAAATGTTACGAAATATTACAAAATCAAACTTGATGTCTATTTATTCTTTAAACGAAATATATCATGTAAGGCTATAAACAAAATTTCGTCGATAGTTTTAAAAATTCGGTAACATTACCTCCTATGGATTCATTAACCCGCAAACAATAATGTATAGTATACTTTAAGAAATCGATCAATCACAATCAATTTGAGAAGAATAATCGACTATGATTGGCTAATTCCTTAAAGCTTAAGACTTACTACTCTGTTGCGTTTGAGGGCGGGAGGGATTACGATTCAATTTTTATTTATTCAGAATAGGATTAAAATAGTCATTTGATTGCTTTTTTGTACGTAAACAATCATCTGAAGTGTTTTTATATCCAAAATAAAATCACTATTATTAACAAGAAATTGTATAATGTAAATTATTGATTGTTTTCCGATTTGTAAGTATTTGAGAACATTATAAATATGGATTTCAATCACAATTTTCTGGAAAATTAAGTAGAAACCAAACAAATATTGCGACAGTATTTTAATCTAAAAAAAAATTTTAATCAATATACAACGACATTTTATTGTGGGTTTTCGATGGAATTGCATATTTAAAGATTTGTAAAGAATAATTATTAAAAAAGAAAGAAAATCTGTTAAAAAATATAATCCACATAAAACAATATTTTTTCACCGCTAAAGATGTAAAAGCATTTCAGGTACAAATTTCCGGGTTAAACAAACTCCGAATATATGAGAAAGAACTGTAAGCATCTGAACGTATGTATTTCATAAAAGTAGACACGCGCAAGAGTATGTTGAATTTTACCGTGTGAAGAAATATGTAAAAGAGAAAAAAAGTATGGCTGTAGCATTTTCGATCAACTCGCAATCTTCCGCCGCTTTGATCTTTCTCTCTAACTTCCAACAACCTTTCTCACGTTCGAACCCTTCTCAACTCAAAAGAGTAAAAAAGAGAACCATTCCAACACAGATCTCGTCTGATTTACGCGAGAGTTAGTTTGAAATGTCGAACTCATTTGGCAAAAAAGAAATAAAATAAATAAATAGCGGCAGTGCAGCAAATAACTCGTACCGTCGATTCAGTGAATCTTGTTTACTAACAAAACATACAAATCGTCGTAATCGCGAGAGATAGTCCGGCGATGGTGCACTACTTGACGAAGAGGTCCTTTAGGGTGGAACAGATCGAGTCGCAGTCCGATTGTTCCTGCTCCTTGTTCCCGCTCGTGAACCAACCGGCGACCTTACTGACGCGTGACTTGTTCGGCGACACGGGTGACTTTCCGGATGAACTACCCGACGCTTCCGCGTCGTTTCCCCTATGGCCCGAGGTGAGGATCTTCTCGATGGCATTACCAAGCACCTATCAATATCGAATCAAACGAAAAAATTTTACTTTCACGCAATCTTAATCTCTTTTTACGATATATTATCTCGAATGCACAAACGAACATACACATACTGACCTGTAAAAAAATGAACCACTATGACATATTACAGTGGTCTATATTTTTTTTGCGGATGAGTATATATACTGTAAATAACAGAATTTTGCGCAAAATTGAGTAAAATTTCTAATCATGATTTCTTCAATGTTTACAAATGCATTTATGAAGAAATAATGGACGTTTGCTTAATTTTTATTGGTTTTTTTTATAAACAATATATATTTTTAACAATAATTTCCAGTTCCTTTATAATACATAAAATCAGATTAAGCAAGCGACCGCGAATAAACATACGAATAAGCAACTTTCCTTTTTCAAATTGTAATCTTTAGCATAGACTGCGTTACGTTTTACGTATAATAGGTACGCATAATGCACCATTTGATCCTTTTTTAATGTTCGGCAAACAACAAGGATAAAATGATATATCATGCGCATCATGAAACGAAACGCACTGTACTAACGTCGTTCGTAGTTTATTATAGCTAATTCGGTTTTGAACATACTAGTGCACTGCTACACTGGTGTATATTAAAGCCATGTACACTAATTTAATCTAAGGAGGACATGACGTTGGAGTCACTGATTTTAATCAAACTTGGTGAGGATATAGTGTATTCCCAACAACCAACGCGCGCGTGTGCCAAGAAGCACTACTCAAAAGTAAACGAGAAAATTGAAATTCTGCAGTTACTTAGGTTCCTTAACACTTGCTCTGTTTACAAATCATCCAATAGTTTCAAAAGTACAAATTTTTCACCCTTATTCAATAGTGACAGTAACTCTTTTAACTCTTTTGGAGTGAGATTTTGCTTTAAGAAATTTAGAGAGTAGGAAAACGTTTTACTAAAAAGAAGTCTCAGCAACGAGCTAGATTTACAGTTCGTATTTTGATATGTAGGTTTTTTTTTATTAAAAAACAGTAATATCAATATATTTTTATTCAAAAATTAAAACAAATATTTAAGAAATAAAGACTACGAGTCAAAGCTGGTTGTTGAATGCTAATTAAAATTTTTATATTTAACAATTAATTTTTTTATTGATTTGCTCAGTTACATATAAATGTTTTCTTCAATGTGCGTCTTACTGCACGTGTTAATTGTCAGGGATATATTATTGTATATCCTTATCCAATTTGATCAAAATCTGATCATATATCTCCCCTCGTAGATATAACAGTAGAATGAAAATATTTTGAATTTAATTATAAAATAGATATTTTAGCTAACAGCACAATAAAGTATGTTGATGTAATGATTTCGCGGTTTAATCCATTTCTGTATTTATATTAAACATACATACTACCTTCATCAATTTGTGTACGATAATTTTAATGTGCATTGAAATTGACTATAATTATAATAATTATATTCATTTACCTGAGCATCCACTTTGGTACCACTACTGTCGTCCCAGAGGACTTTATGCCTGGCGTTCTTCACGAGCGTGTCCTTGACAGTTTTAACTAATCGCGACTTGTCCAGCTTTAACGTCATCGCGTTCTCCTCGTCGTATCGGTTCTTCTTCGAGATGGGCTGATGTCTCTTGGCAAACCAGGTGCTCGGCGTCATAAACGCACCGATGGTGCTCTTTCCACTGCCAGTTGCTGTCTTGCTCTTAGTGCTGTGCAAGATGGAGACATCGAAGCTGTTGGATCGAGAGCTCTTGAGTCGACTACGCCTCTGCTCCGCCGTTTTAGTTGACCAGCTCGATTTCTGCTCGTCCTTCGCGCTCGATGCCTCCGATGTACCACACGTATTTATCTCCGTCGCGGATGATGTCAGGGAACTTAAGATGGATATCAGATCCGTATTGGAGCATGTGATACCTGCCGCAGCTACTTTCGACGTCCCGGGTAACTCGATATCGGAGAGTGGCTTTGTTATCTCGGACGCGCGTCTACGTAAAGCTGACGTTGACGCTGCGACCGATGCCGAGAACTCGGAGAACCGGCGTTTCTGATGCTGTATGTATTTCTGAGTGGTAGAACTGCTGTTGCCCTCCAGAGGTTGGATCTCGCATACGCGCTCGCGAGACGGTGTCTTGTACATCTTTAAACGGACCTGGGACGCGTGTACGAGCACGATTAGAGCGCTCCTCGCTTAAACGAAACGTCAGAGAACTGTCTAACTATACATCCAATTAACATAAATACTATCAATTGTTAATGGACTTATGCGCATTCTCTTCAAAATGAAATGTAAATACGAGCTTAAACAAAACGTCAGAGAACTGTACATCGAATTGACAATATCTATCAATTGTTAGACTTTATAGTATAAGTATGCGCTTTCTCTACAAAGTGGAATTTAAAGAACATAACTAATACGAATACGAAGTCTATAACAATCTAGCTTGGATCTTTAAATGCTTATATAGAATTTCGCGTGAATTTATATACTAATATGGGTAGTCCCTCCAAACTGCGCGCCGAACGATTGTCGGTCTTAAAACGCAACTTTAATAAACTACCGCGCGGTACTATCACGAGTTAAATTGATTAACAATTTAATAAATTAATCGATGCTATTTTTTGGCATTTTATATCAATGTTAAACTATACACTGAAAATACTAAATCTGGAAATAATTCTTTTTATTGTGAAAAATATTACCTCGGCCGGGAGTCGAATCCGGAATTTAAAGAACTTAAATAAACAAACTTTATAATTTTTTTATGTATTTTTGAATTTTGCAAATTATTCTCTTTAAAAAATTCGAGGAAATATATGTATTGATTAGCCGAGGAATTATACATTACTCTACTATATTACTACATCTATTCAGTGTATTTACCCTGAAATGTAATTAATTACTTTTTTCTTGTTAATATTTTATTTAAAAACTTTTTTTCTCTGATATTTCGTGACTTTTGGTGTTTTAATATAAGACTTTTTGTGAAATTCTTTTATTTTTATTTTTTAGAGCTTTTTATTTTAACTAAACGATATGATTCAAAATAATAAATTTGAACAAACCAGCAGAGTTAATTAGACAATCCGACTTTTCGTTTTTGTATAAATTTTTTATTTTTAAAAAGCCAATTTTATTAATAATACTAGTAAAATACACACACACACACACACACACACACACACACACAAAAGTCTCTTGAATTTATGTTGCTGAGAACGTTTTAGAATTGCAATTGGACTCTTACTAGAGATCGCGCGACTCTTATATCTTTAATTTCGAGAACAGACAAGTATGGATGTAGCCATAATAAAAATCAATAACGGTTGAATGGTCAACCTTAATAAAAGCCTAAATGGTTGTTATGAGATAACAAGTGATTACCATAAAGCTCTGTTTTATTTTTTGATTCTGTATTAAATTAGCAAGAAAATGAGCCTGCAATGATCTCATCAATATGGTTTGTTATTCGTCCTGCTTCATTTCTATTTTTCGTCTAAGTATTACTTTATACCCCATATTGTACACCCTATTACTAAGATTACTTCTAAAAATGTCGCTCCGAAGTTACAATTTACCTTTCTGGCCTTTATCTCGGCAATATCGTCCATAATATCGAGCTGTAGATTGTGAGTGCTTCCGCTGTTGCTGGGCGGGCCAGTCATCCCGGTGGACGAGTCTCGCCGGCTTTGCAATATCCTGGTGGCTCCTCCCATGGGAAACGCAGCGATAGATTCGCGACGATTGCGCCCGAAGAGGGTGGTCGGCACCCTGGAGATCGTGACGACAGAGTGCCGCCGGCCACCGGCCGTCGGTGCCGGCGTCTGCGAAAGTGTCGCCAAGAAAGCAGCCTCCCTTGCTGATGGACCGGAACCTTCTCCGCCGCGTTCGCTCAATCGTCGCACCTATTCACCGTGTACAATTTAAGAGAAGATCAACTTATCGACATCATCTAATACGGATGTTATTTATCTTATACTACTTGAGAAAGAAATTAAATTAATCGGATTGCTGATCAAAGGACTGACAGCCTCATCGGGAAATCAATAAATCTGAATTGTACAATCTCGAATTTTATATATTTTTAATGTGACTATTTAAAGGTCGCTTTCTTGGTTATAAACTTTTAATTTTAAAGATCTAACTGTACGCATTAAAATATGATAATATCATTAAAATGCTAAATTTAGAATAATAAGATATCTATTAAGGTACTCACTACAACTATATATCAGATTGACGTCAGAAGCGAGAAAATACACAATAAAAATTTTCGCAAATATTGATACATAGTTGAACAGAAATATTTTTTAATGAACCAACATTTTTATAAATCGATGGAATAGACTTATAAAATATATCTACTTAAAAACCTATGTTCTTGTGTTTTGGGGAGAAATTAAATCACATTTATTTCTATACATTATTAATTTAACAGTTTATTCTATATATTATTAGCAACTGTAAACATTGCTGATTTCGTTTTTGATTATGCATAATTCATTTCCAAATATGTATTATATACGATATAACATAATTTCGAGATTATTTATTAATTAATGAAACAAAAGAGAAGAATTTTCAATGTATTTTACAAGTCGATTTTATCAATTATACCCCATTAATAAGTATAAAAAAGCAATGGTAAACCAAGTTATCATCTGCTGAGTTAAAAATAACATTTTGTTATTTTAAAATTTCATGGCTGCGTTCGAAGAGCACACGTATATCAAAATATAAATCAATACATTTCCATGATTAGTTTTAAAGTAAACAATGTTTATATTAATATATGATACATTTAGTAAATAATAAATAACTAAATTAGAGTCAAATTTAATACTATACATGTTATTGAATTAAATTGTTTAATCCTATTGTTTTAGTTAAATTAAATAATTTATTGTGTAGGAGCAGAAATACTATAGAAATGATTAAAAATAACTCAAATTGGATATAATTTAACATTATAAATTTAATAGTACAAGTGTTGTTTTATTAAAATATATTTCCATAATTAATATATTTTGCCTAAATTTTTATTGTGTATTTTTTTGCTTCTAACGTCACAAGTTTTGAAATAAAAATGGTGAGTAAACCAAAGCTTGTAAAGTTTCATCAAAACAATAATAAATCAAACAATAATTCCATTTCTCTCTTCTCTCTCAAAACTAAAATATTAAATTAAAATACAAGTTAAAAGGTAAAAAGTTTATAGATGTTCATTTTTAATTTTATCTTGATTTAATATCTTATTTTTTTATTCCGAAACGTTCGATATCATTATATTATTTATTTAATATTATATTATAAACTTGAAATTTATTTTATAAACATCTTATTACTGTTCGATTTAGATCGAATTTCTTTATCTTACTTTGCATTGCAAAAAACGAGTGAAATCTAATTATTTTTTATATTTTTATAAAATCTTTAATATATGGAAAGTACTATTTTGTTGAAGTATCTAAAAATTTAGCTGGATATAGATCTAAAAATAATTTTATTTGAACCATCAAAATAATTAGGGGATTCTGGAACTGAAAGAATATCAAAACTTTATGCAGCGTTGCTCATCATGCTTGAGATTTCTACATATTGATGGTCCAAGAAAGCTATTTTCAAAGTTGCGTCTCCAGTTAAATTTCTAGATAATATACTTCAGCAAAACCGTCCTTTCCGTGTATCTGTTTTCTTTCTCTTCAAGATCGATCATTACCCCGACAATTCTGGCTTTCGGAGAACTAGTCTATTTCAGATTTTTCGTGCTCATCTAGCAGTATAAAACGGGTATATTGCGCATACAATATCGATAACACCAACCACGAGGAACTTCCTGTGCACGTACATACACAGCACATACCTGGGATGCGGTTATCCCGGATGTACATTGTGGCGTCGGCAAGGAGTGCTTCCTGGCGTCCCTCCATGGTGAGAGCAGATAGGGATTCAAGGATGGCGAGTCTGGGTCGACACATCGCGGCGGTGATTCCGCGCGGCAGCGCTCCGCTTCTTCCTCGACGACAATCAGCGGCTCGCCGGTGCTTCCGCTGCTCGAGCTCGGACAGTACGACTGCCTTCTCATCTCTAACCTTACAAATATTTTATAAGATTTCAAAACGTTCTAAAAATCTTTCAACTTATTAATATCTTGGAGACCTGAATTTTTAATTGCGATATTCTGCACAATCCTTTTTAATTAAAGAAAAGTTCATCAAAAGATTGAAACTATAAGCACACAATCTCAAAGCACAGACACCGTCCACATTATATATACACCTTTATTTTACAAATTTTTCTTCGTTTCACCAATTATGTCCATTTCCACCAGTGTATAGTATTTAATCGTTTAAGATTAACTTCAATCTCGGTCCAACTTACTACAATTCTTTATCTTTTTTAATCCTTAGAACTACGCTTAGAATTTTGAGATTAAAGTTGATTTGTATTGGTGAAATAGACATTAGAGTATTATTTCATCCGGTATTTAGTCTTATCTATAAACGGAATTGGCGCCTCGACGTGGATGCTGATTAAGATTCCGAATGGATGTCCGATGAGATTTCTCAAGTATGTGCGATACCGAGATTCAAGAAATTCCCCGCAGAACTTTTTATTTTCCTCAGAGACAAGCATCTACCGAACGAGTATAAAGCACTGTACATAATATATAACCTTGTTCGGCTCGTGTAATTCCGAGCACGTGCGAGCATTTCGATTTGATATATCCGGAACACACCTCCCCCTCCTTGCGTATTATATCTATGTAATTGGGGGGGGGGGGGAAATT